CGTGAATGAGATCTTTAAGCCCTGTTTATAGATATTTGTGTTGGTATTCTTTGATGATATACTCGTTTATAGCCCAAACTGGGCAGCTCACCTGGATCATTTGCAGTGTACTTTGAGCTTATTACGCCACCATCAGCTATTTGCTAAGCCTTCCAAGTGTTCCTTCGGGCAGACCCAGATTAGCTACCTAGGCACATCATCTCCGACGGGCAGGTGCATACCGATCCAGAGAAAATAGCTTGCATGGTCACATGGGCTAGGCCCAGTTCACCACGGGCCTTCAGGGGGTTCCTTGGACTTACGGGGTACTACCGCCGATTCATTAGAAACTATGGAGTTCTTGCAACACCACTCACTAGCCTCCTGAAGAAGCATTCGTTTGAGTGGGATCAAAAAGATGATGAAGCCTTCCAACTACTCAAGAAAGCCATGACCACACCACCCACATTAGTCCTATCTGATTTCAACCTAGAATTCATGGTAAAGGCTAACACCTCAGGCAAAGGAATAGGTGCGGTCTTGATGCAGTAACGCAGACCACTGGCCTTCTACAGCAAAGCCCTCTCACCTCAAGCCCAAGCCAAGTTGATGAATGAAAAAGAACTTATGGCCATTACTCCAGTGGTTCAGAAATGGAGAGCGTATCTCCTGGGCTGAAGGTTTCTTGTTCGGACGGACCACTGCAGCATCAAACATTTGTTGGAACAGAGAATTTTGGGCCCTGACCAACAGAAGTGGGCCTACAAGTTGTTGGGGTATGACTTTGTCATTGAATATAAACCTGGACCTTCTAATGCAGTCGTAGATGCACTCTCCCGGGTGAAGGACCTTCACATAATAGGAGTGTCACAGCCAACCTATCCCTTGATGGATTAGTTAAAGCAAGAAGCCCATAACGACACTCACCTAGCCCAGATTCGGGCTCAGGTTCTCAAGGAACCAACTCTCACTTCATGGTACACCGTGAGGGGTGATGTTCTCTTTTACAAAGGAAGAATGGTGATTTCTAACAGATCCCAATACCACCAAGAACTACTATGACTCTTTCATGACTCATCCCAGGGAGGACATTCTAGGGCTCTTCACACCTATAAATGCCTGGCCTCTCATTATCATTGGAGAGGAATGAAACACATGGTGCAGAAGTATGTCGCAAGGTGTGCTACTTGCCAATTGCAGAAGTATAACACATAGGCACCGGTGGGTTGTTACAGCCCCTACCCATACCGAAGAAAGTTTGGGAGGAAGTTACTATGGACTTCATAATCGGGCTCCCCACATCTCAAGGGAAGTCGGTTGTGTTGGTGGTTGTAGACAGGTTGAGTAAGTATGCACACTTCATTGCACTCTCCAAACCTTACTCAGCATCCACAGTAGCCCAAGCCTACATAAGGGATGTGGCCAAACTCCACGGAACCCTCCTCTCCATCCTGATGGACCGGGATCCCCTCTTGATGATCTCCTTTTGGCAAGCCTACTTCACCGCTCAAGGGGTGCTCTTACTTCACTCGACCAGTTATCACCCACAAACGGACGGGCAGTTGGAAGTGGTCAACCGATGTTTGGAAACTTACTTATGGTGTTTTGTGGGAGATAAACCCAAGCAGTGGGCTCAATGGTTGTCTTGGGCCGAGTTCTGGTATAATACCACATTCCAAATCTTGGTAGGAACCACTCATTTTAAGGTGCTTTATGGGTGTGACCCTCCATCTATCTTACCATATGAAAAGGGAACGCCATCAGTTGCTGAAGTTAAGACCCAGCTTTCAACAAGCGACAACATACTCAAGACTCTTAAGTTCCATCTTCAACAGGCCCAACAACGCATGAAGATAGCTTATGATAGAAAGCACCGGGAGTTAGAATTTTCAGTCGGGGATTGGGTCTATTTGAAACTCCAACAATACAGATAGGTGTCTCTGGAAAGAAGATTGTCCTAGAAGTTATCTCCCCGGTACTTTGGCCCATTTCAGGTGGTTGAATGCATTGGGGTTGTTGTTTGTCGTCTCAACCTTCCTACAGAGTGCCAGCTGCACCCCATCTTCCATGTTAGTCTTCTAAGGCCCTGTCTATCCTCCTCCGATGTTACCAGCCCCACGCTTCTGCCGTTCACAGAGGCTGGAGAGGTGGTGTTTGAACCACAACAGATTAAGGACATTCGTTGGGTGAAAAGGGGCGGCAAGGTCCACAAACAAGTCTTGGTTGTGTGGAATGGACTGCCATAGGAGGATGCTACTTGGGAAGATTTTAATCAGCTTCAAAAACAATTCCCCACCTTCAACCTTAAGGACAAGGTCATTCTTGATGGGGAAGGGGATGTTAGGACTGGMCCAGAAGCAGGCCCAATTGTGGAGAACCAAGCCCATGACACTCCGGGCCCAGCCTAGCGCACTCCACAAATCATGCATGCAGCACCTCCTCTGAGGTTTGTTTACACGCGCTGTCCACATCATGAAGAATGATCAGAGGTTGTTAGGTTGTTACAAGTCGTGCTCACTACTACAAATATCTGTAATAATCGTTGAGCTAGCATGAAAAGAAATATTCTCTGAGTCTTCTTCTGCCTCCGTTCTTCTTCTCTTCCTCTCTGTTCTTCCTACTCTCTTTGTCCATTTCAGGAGGGTGAGCTCCCTCGAACCAGCTTTTCTAATTGCAACTAAATCAGGAGAAGCAAATTCATCAAATTCCCTGTATTGTAGATCAGTAGGAATTGTAGAAAGCCCCATTTTTTATTAGAAGATCTATTTTTTTATAGTTCCCATGGCCTCTAGAATCTTTTTTTAGACAAACACTCCTATCAGTTTTTGACAAAGGTCTTTCTTTATGTAGAAAACATCTCTTTGCGATTTTTCCATTTAAGATTTTGGTACATTTTGTTGTTCCTTTTTGCCTTTTTTTCTCCAAGGTCTTGTCTTCCTAAAAATTCCCCTTAGGGAAGGGGTAGCATAAAGACTATGTGAATTTATTCTAATATTTGAAAGAAAAAAAAAAAGACAAAATTTAACAGATTGGGCTTAAAATAACAAAATGTTACCTCATCGGATTTTCCCGTAGATGGCAACACTGCTGCATCTGCTTCTATGTTTTTTATCTCCATATTTGTGATACAGACTCCTGCCATTGCAGCTTCATTGTTAACTTTTTCCAGTAGGGTATCATTTTCAGCTAGCAGCTCATCAATGTCGAACTCCCCACGCTGACTAGGCATTCACACTTGAACTTGATTCGGTTGGTTCAATTGGCTCTCCATGGGTCTGTAGAAGTGTTTCACTCAAGGTTGGTTCAACTCGAACCTTCTTTGCATTAGCTTTTGTCCTTTCCTGTGATTTGCCCATATCAAGGTTGGTTCAATTGGTTCTCCATGGGTCTCAGAACTGTTAAATTTTACACCATCCTCGAGTATAGTCTGCCCTCTTCCTTGTTCTCCTTGCATCACCTTTAGACAACTTGAGATTTGTTTCCTACATCAGATTTTCACCAGTCCCATCTTGACAGTACTCTTTACTTATGAGACCTCTTCTTGAGCCATCCGCACTATCTAAGGTCAACTCAACAATCATACCTTCTTCCCCATTTAGGGCCTGTTCATTTGCTCTGAAGTCTGACATCTGAAAGTGCAATAATTACATTAAGAGGTACATTGGTATTGGTGAACTTTTCTTTCCTCTCAACTCTGAATGTAGAGAATGTTGTTCTAAATTTTGAATTATGAATTTTGAAAATTATCAAATATCCATTTTGACCCCATATATGGGAGTTTCTATTTGTCTTTTTGAGGGTTATCATTGGAAGAAAAAAAGTTGTATGATTGCACTTTAAGAGATAAGAGATAAGAGGAAATGAACGGCCATTTTTCTCTTAAAGTCAAGTGATTCCTCTTAAGAGATAAGAGTTAAGAAACGAACAACCCCTCCGGCTACCCCACACCTCTTCTCCGTCGAAAAGATCAAGTAAATGGCACCTTCCATCGGCAACAGATTTCTGACTTCCAAACACAGACCCGGCAAATCCCGAAACAATCTCCTTGGACAAGAATCCACCATTTTAGGCATTGTTACCTTCTCTGGGTTGTGCAGCGGAGAAACAACTCTGTTAGTTCGAACAACTGGTAATTCTCGTTCTCCATCAATATTTCCTGGAACCTTCTCAGGCTTAGGCCCTCACTTTTTTCCTTTCAAAGTCTCCACCTTCCTTTTTTGAGCTCTCCCCAGCTTTTCTATTGATAAACTTGAACTCATCCCTTTCCATTATCGCTCCCAGACTCGGTCCGAATTTTGGAATCCCAACCTCCTGTTCGATAGTTTGGCTTGCCATTTGGTTTGAGAGATCCTCTACTGCCTGGGAATTTGATATTATCTTGCAGTTTGCTTCCTCATGGCCGATACAACCACACCTGAAACAAAAAATTGGAAGTTTTTCATATTAAAAACTATACCAGATTTTGCTCCCTTCATCGTCACAATCAAAATTTCCTACAGCCAAATGAGTATTTATGTTTATTTTAACTCTAATTCTGAAGAATCTATCCCACAAAGGTTCGTCCATATCCGCCATGTCCTCTTCTTCATCATCTTCCAAATCCTCTTTAACAACTTCACTGACCACCGCCACTAGGTTTGCTCCCCACTCCCAAAATCTCTTGTCAACAAGGACCTTTAGAATCAGGACTGTAACACAAAGCTGATCAAAACTTAACGAGTTGAGAGATTCATTTGGGTTTCATCTTTTCAGAAGGAGGGGGTATCCATTCACAACCCAAGGTTCTTGATCTAGGAAAACCTGTAGATCTTTTTCCTTTTTGAAAAATATCCAGAGCACCTCATCCTCAATCCATTTAACCTCATACTTTGATCCAGGCCAAAAGTTCCGTATCTTCTGCAGAACTCCGTGTGCATTAAGTTGTTTGTCTGAGATTACTTTCTTGTAGAGTGCCTTTCTGCATCTATTCTACATTTGTTTCTCCCTTCTTTCTAACAGACATGATTTCTGATTTTCCTCAGGTGAAGAATCCATTGTTGGAGGGATCAACAAACTCCCCGGTGTATAGAGCAAGCAATTTGCGTTGAGTAAGATGTTTCGAAAGAGCTACAGAGAGCAAAACGTAAAGACTGTCCAGACAACTTAGGGTCCCTTTGGTTCATAATTGAAATTGGAATCAGAATCCTTCCGAATTGGAATTGGAATGATTTATTCCCCTTACCTGTTTGTTCATATTGAAATCGGAAACAAAATCAAAACTAACGAATGGATTTTCATTCCCAAGGGAAGGAGAGGCCCTATTCCAATTCCGGACCCCTATTCTCACAGACCAAACAGGCCCTTAATCTGGGGTGATCATGGTGGGGCTAGGCTCTAGGTCTAAGTCAAAGTTACTAGTTAAATTTTAGGAAATATATCATAATATTTTATATTATATGACATAAATAATATATATATAAAATACCCCTAAAATATATTATATAATTTATACAATTTAAAATATTATATAATATTTATTATATGCCATTTTATAATATTTATATACATAGTGTATAAAACATATATATTACGATCTAGGCCAAGCCATAAGTATTGACCCTAGGCCAGACCTAAACACAAAAACTAGGCCCAAGTCTGAAAATTTGTGGGCTGGATAGGAAATGATTGCCTCTAAACTTGAGTTGAATCAGGTTGGTTAAGATTGAAAAGTATGAGCCTACTTAACTTTAGGTTGGATTAGGGATTGAAGCCTTGACCAATAAAACCCAACCTAAACCCAATGTAATTTCATATTTGTAATTTGTATGTAAGTACTTGTTTATGAATATTATATAAACATGTATTTATGTATCTAAGTATGAATTTATGCATATGTGTATATAGAATCATACATCTATAAATGTATATCTATGTATTTATGTATTTATTTTTTACTGCAAGTGTGTGTATGTATGTTTGGGTTCGACTATAATACTAGAAAGACATATATACCAGTAAGGGTATTAATGGACCGGTTTTGGACTAGACCCTGCCCAATCCCAAGTCAATTTGGACAAATTGGATGGATCAACAAGACATATTGGATTTGACCAATCTAGTCCAAAATATTTATTAGATTGGATTGGACATGGTCCGTCTAAAATAAATTTATATTGGATTGGGTTGGATTAAGCCAATATCTAATCTATTGATATAAGATAAGAATATAAGTGCCAATGGACAGGGTTTGGGTTGAAATCAATCTAAATTAAAACGAATTTGAACAGATTGGACATCCAAACATTGAATTGGACCGGTCTAAAATGGTCTAGAATATTCATTGGATTGGATTGGGCCTGATCCATTTGTAATGGATTCACATTGGACTGGATCGGATTGGATCAAATTCAATCCAATTGACACGTTATATACTAGAAAAACTTGCAACCAATCAATCTATATCATAAAAGAGGTGACCAAAGGTGGTATTCAACAAAATTCTCAGGGGGTGCTTTGATTGATCAAAGCTCTTGTGGAGCCATATCTTTTAGATTTTCTATTGTATGTCAAAAATTTCAAATTTAAAGTCTAATTTTTTTCTAAAGCATGATAATTATGCTCTTCTATACATGATTATTGAATTAATATGGATCCCCAAGTTTAGGAAATAAGTACACTTGCAAAAGAAAAGTATAAAAGTTGGGAAAACATGAGGCTTTTGAATTGGGTTGAGGTTAGGGTTACATATAGTAAAGCTCCAGGGAATAGAGTAGGCCATGCTAAGGCCAGGTTAAGGGTCTATTTGATTTGCAGCCATAATTAGAATCTATAATCTTTGGTTCAGACAGGAATTAAAATCTGAGTTAGAATAAGTGGAAATGAGATTTTATTCCCAAAGGAGGGGGGATGGGATGCTAATTTTACTAAGAATGAAAATGGGATTTTAATTCCATCCAACCAAACAGTTGAAATTAGAATACCCATCTCATTCCGATTCTGGGCCCCTATTCCCGTGAACCAAACGGGCTTTAAGACTGGAATGAACTGAATCGACTTCAAGGTCTACATGTTTATGCATAGTGTGATTATTTGATGAACACCATTTATTGAGTTAAACCTCCTGTCCAAGGATACTCAGTTTCAAAACCAAACGTACGTTGAATTTTTCCTATTAGTTAACCAAACCGAACCGAACCATAGGGGCCCAACCCGCGGTCCTACGCATCACTGTGAATATCATTCGTTGGCCTGCTGTTGGCTCGAGCCTCGAAGTACAATGAATAAATAAATAATGATTTACAGTTTTTAATCTGAAAATTTCAGCCAATGACTGACAGACACAGAAGGGTTCTCGTGGCTTACTACTTGCTAGAGTAAGAGCGCATTCATTGTATCATCAAATTACACTGTATCGCCACGTGGCTACTTAGAGTTGCGTCTGAGGATTTTATTAGTTTTTGAGATGCAGCAGACTAACGACAGAAGCCTTTCCCTTAATCATTTAGTGTTGAAGTGACATTCACGGCCATATATTCACCTGCGCCCGAGGAGTGGGGCCCCTCTCACGTGATTCCTCCCACCTAATACCCTGAACCGTATCTCCTTGCGGGGGCCAGCTGGGGACGGTTTTGCGGACAGATCTTGCTTGTGTGGGTGCCGTCACGCACGTGATTGTAATCTTTCCCAAGCATCCATGGAATATTTGGATTTTTCTTAATTATTTTTATTGCCTTGCAACGAGTACCACAAAAATACGGGAGACACCATTTGATATTGATTTTTTTTGTTGCTTCCCAGATTGCCCTCATCTCTTGTTCTATTTTCGAGAAAAGTAGTACAACAACTCGATCCTCAAATTGCCAAGTTGGTCATGGGCCACCAGAGGACTCGTGGTTGCAGTATCCAACCGGTAAATCAAAATGGGACCCAACCCATTTAATGACAAACACCAAGAACGCTTATTTAGCGTCTGTTTGGCATCGTTGCCGTTGCTTTAAAATACGCGCCACATTATCACCACGATTCCTTTTTTCTTTATAAAAAAATAGTATTTCAATCTATGTCTTAAAAATCAGGAAGACATGGTTCGGAGCAATATCAAATTTAACATTTTTTGGAGCTGCAACTTGTTGCTACCAGCAGGGATGTGAGGTGGCAGTGATGTGACACTTGATAACGAGTATCAAACAGAAAGTTGTTGTTGCTCGAAACAGAAAATTGTTGTTGCTCGAAAAATGGGTGCTTCGGACCCATATCTATAGCTTAAAAGTAGTACAAGTGTTTTTAAAACCTTTGTGGTTAAGGGTATTCACGGTTCAATTAATAGAACCGTGGGCCACTTTTCCAAATCAAATCAGTTTTTGATTCCAATTGTTTAGTTGGGTAAAATTAGAATTCCATTTTCATTTATGGTGGAATGGCATTCCCACATTCTCCCATTTTTTTGGAATGAAATCCGATTTCTGTTGATTCTAATTTTTATTTTCATTTCTATTTGAACCAAACAAAATAAACAAACATTTAGGCAAGTACTTATTTTCGGCACTTCTGGGGTTGTTTCCCTTGCGCAAAATGTTTAATGATAACTTCTGAGGTTGTATTTGTACTCCTTTCAAACTAAGTTTATGGTTCCGGTCCAAAATTCCCAATACGCAGTCAAAAGTAAGCACTCCCAAACATGATTTGGTTCATTTGGTAATTATGTTCAAAATCAGCTCCATATGTTTTCTGGAGGTCTGCGACGATCAAAATCTACATATAAAAATGTCTCTCTCTGCTTGGAGTCTTTCATCGTCTTCCTCACTCTTCTCTGGCTTTCTATCTTGTTCTTCGTCGTCGAAGCAAGAAAGCAGACTAAGCGAAAACTGCTTTTATAATAAGAAACAATACAAAGAGAGCTTTGCTTCAATGGCGATGGCAGCGGTAGGAGGAGTGACTCGAATTCCGTCGTCGAATCTCATCACTCAGAAAACCAGCACGAGACCCACTTCACCTTTCCTCAAACCCATCAACCAGAGCCTCTCCTCTTCTTCATCTGACCTTTCCGGTGACAAGATTCCGCTCAAATCCGTTCTCCGAAGTCTCAAAGCATCTTTCAATGCTAGAATTCCTATCTTGGTTTCTCCTAAAGCGGTTTCCGATTCTCAGGGTTCCCAGACTTGTCTTGATCCTGATGCAAGCCGAGTAAGTCTGTTTCCGTGTCTGTCTGTGTTTGTGTATGGTTTCGTTTTACTTGTTTGTACGGTTACATTTTGAGTTTGAGTTTCTGGATTTCTTTATTATTTCTCTTTGGAAATTTAATCTTTGAATGATCTGTAGATGCAAATGCTGTTAAGAAAAAGATCAAAAGTATTTTAAGGACTGAAGTTTTAAACTGTGAATGGTTTATCTTGGTTTATATAATTCGTGTATTATTTTGGTTTGAACAGTATAGCTGATCTGCTGCTCTTTCTTTTGCTTCTTTGTTAGATTTGAGTTTCGAGGTTGATTGGTATTACTAGACCCAACTTTTAGAATTGTTTTAAGGTTTTCACTAAAAATTGAATCTTTCAATGATCGTTAGGTGGAAATGCTGTTAACAATAAGATTAAAGTGTTGCAAGAATTGAACCTTTCAATGATCTGGGTCTCTGTAACGTGTATTTTGTTTTTCTTTTTTGTTTCAATGTGTACTTTATCAGTTTTTCTTCCTTTGTTAATAACATATAAGTTTGATCTTTAAGCAGTAGTTCGGTGGTTAAGTATACTTCTGCACAGCTACCTAAAGCAGATACTCTGCAGTTGGCTCCATTCGTTATCTATTCAAGTTTTTATTAAGCATTGGGAATTTGGCAACATTGTCTGTGATTTGAAAAATAACAACAGATGATCCACATGATTGCTCTGGGGTTTAGAGTAATTGATGTGAAACTGGAGTTATAATTTTCACCAATTTGATTGCTATTGTGTTTCTTTTAATAATAATAATCTTTGCATGGTCTTTTGGTTGGTGGCTCTTTTTCTTGATATTCCAGGTATGTAGATGCCCAACTTTGGGGACTCTTGACTCTTGAGCTATGATACTGAGCGGCTGTGCCGATTGTGTAATCTTCTTGATATAAAGAAATACTGTTTTCTGTTGCCTAAATCAAAACAACTGTTAGATCTAATTTTTTGTGTGGATTCATGACGTTGGTTTCTGCCTAGATATTTGGAGAAAACTTATTTCCGTACCTCTACCAATCATGAGGCTTTCAGAGTCTTCTAATTTTATGTCTCATTTCAGTTTTAGAATCCTTTCTCACCTGGATTTATTTGGATCAGTGTTTCTTCTTATAAGGTGGATGGAGTATTTGATACTATGCTTGTACTCTGCAGAGTGTTCTGGGAATTATACTTGGGGGTGGAGCAGGAACTCGACTTTACCCTCTTACTAAGAAGAGAGCAAAGCCTGCTGTTCCTTTAGGAGCAAATTACAGGCTGATTGATATTCCTGTCAGCAATTGCTTGAACAGTAATATATCAAAGATCTATGTTCTCACACAGTTCAATTCAGCATCGCTTAATCGCCACCTTTCTCGGGCATATGCCAGTAACATGGGAGGGTACAAGAATGAAGGATTTGTTGAAGTTCTTGCTGCACAGCAGAGCCCAGAGAACCCAAACTGGTTCCAGGTAATTACATAGTATTACTTTTTACGCTTATATCTGATCCAAATTTTGTTTTTGATGCCAAATCATATTAAACTTGGTTTCATACTCCACAGGGTACCGCTGATGCTGTAAGGCAGTACTTGTGGCTCTTTGAGGAACACAATGTTATGGAATTCCTGGTTCTTGCTGGAGACCATTTATACCGTATGGACTATGAGAAGTTTATACAGGCACACAGAGAAACTGATGCAGATATCACTGTGGCAGCACTACCAATGGATGAAAAGCGTGCCACTGCATTTGGCCTAATGAAGATTGATGAAGAAGGACGCATAATTGAATTTGCAGAAAAACCCAAGGGGGAGCAGTTGAAAGCAATGAAGGTACATTCTGCCAAAAGGATCAACATATTCATGAATTTGTTCTTTGTGCTTTCTTATCACTAATGCGTCATGTTTATTTTATTTCTAAAATACAAGTTGTTGACAGAATAAATTAAAGGTGTATTTCTTTTCATATTGTTCCAGGTTGATACAACTATCTTAGGACTTGATGATGAGAGAGCTAAAGAGATGCCTTACATTGCAAGCATGGGAATATATGTTGTCAGCAAAGATGTTATGCTGCAATTACTCCGTGAGAAGTTTCCTGGAGCCAATGATTTCGGAAGTGAAGTTATTCCAGGTGCAACTTCAATTGGAATGAGGGTATGTCTAATTTTCACACACACACACACACACACACACACACACACACATATATATATATATATATATATGTATATATATACATATATTATAGCCATGCATCTTGATAAGTAGCTGCCAAGGGGTGATTCTCTGTGTCTCTCAGCATGCTGCCTCAGACCTCAATTTGATCCTCTGCATTGATATTGTCAAATTTCCTCATTTCCTGACATCTTATTGCTACTCTAATTTCAACAGGTGCAAGCCTACTTATATGATGGTTATTGGGAAGATATTGGTACCATTGAAGCTTTCTATAATGCAAATTTAGGGATAACTAAAAAACCAATTCCAGATTTCAGGTAGTACAACAAATAAAAATCAAGAAAGACTTTTTACATCGTTCATTTGGTAAAATATTCTATGCCAGTAGCTTGATTCCCAATCTCATGGCATTGATAAACYTGAACTTTAATGCAGCTTCTATGATCGTTCGTCTCCAATCTATACACAACCTCGATATTTACCGCCTTCTAAAATGCTTGACGCTGATGTTACAGATAGTGTTATTGGTGAGGGGTGTGTGATTAAGGTATGCTGGTTACAGATAGGCATCCCTATTTATATTCTGAAGCTGTGGTAGATGTGCTCACATCATTATCTTGTTTTCTTAATGCCCAAATGCATTTGAGTTCATGGATATGAGGCTAAGCACATGTCCATATCTTTATTCTATTCCCTCTGCAGAATTGCAAAATTCATCATTCTGTTGTTGGGCTCCGATCTTGCATATCAGAAGGTGCAATTATAGAAGACACATTATTGATGGGAGCAGACTATTATGAGGTAATTATTTCCAGTCAGAACCAGCAGCTTAGCACTTCCTTTATGACTTAGAATTGACCCAAGCACAGCGAATAGTTTTGCCTTGTTAAATTTGAGTGTTTATGGTTTTCTTTTCTGTATTCTCTAGACGGATGCCGACAGGAGGTTTCTGGCTGCGAAAGGTAGTGTACCAATTGGTATTGGAAGGAATACCCACATCAAGAGAGCAATTATTGACAAGAATGCTCGCATTGGAGACGATGTGAAGGTTTGTGCATCTGATTCATCTTCCTATGAATTATTTTGTATTATCCCGCATTTCTGGCTTTACAGCAGTAGTTGTTTTGCCAATCAAACATCTAAATTAGCATTCCCAATTTTTGTGGGGAAACAAGAAGAAAATAATGAATCAACTGACGATTTTCTTATTAACATATAGCTATTTAGTAGTTGCTTGTTTTTCATGGTATTAACGTTGATTAGTTCACTATGATTTGGAATATAGATTGAGTACTGTACTGCTGTTGCAGATCATTAACAGTGACAACGTTCTAGAAGCGGCAAGAGAAACAGATGGGTATTTCATCAAGAGTGGAATCGTCACTGTAATCAAGGATGCTTTAATACCCAGCGGAACCATCATTTGAAACCACTTTTGCTTTCCTCTACCAATCTCCCTTGTTATTAGATATTGGGTCTTAGGACTAATGTAGTAAGGGGGTCAATCACTACTTGTATCCATCGTTTTATGGCCCTGAGAATTAGTGTATAATGTATATTTCCTCACTAGTGTAGCTGTGAAACAGTGTAAGACGTTTAGTAGAGGAGGGTAAAAGCAAGAATTAGTGCTTGTAAAGGTTTCATCTACCATTTTGTTTGCCAAAAATAAGTTTCTCGTCCATGAATCCGTTTGTTTCCTTCCTATTTTAGGTCGTAAGCATCCTACTAGTCACTTGGAATTGGATGTAAATGACTGAATACTATACAACATGGAATGCGTAAGAAATGAAGAAGAAAAACTGCAGTTATTCATTAATCATTACCATTTATTTACTGAAACAAAAAACTTGAAACTTGTTCTACTAGTTGAAAAACGCGTGCACACAAAGGATAGAGAGAAAAAACACCACACAAACCCAATGCACGACCAATTCCTCTCTTAACTGCATTTCAGCATATGCTTTTCTTTATTTTTTATTTTTTATTTTTTTGGTCTATGATATAACTTATCCAGGTAAATGATATGATTTATTAGGTGGATAAATAACTTTCTCATTTTATATTTAGTTTAGAAAGAGTACAAATGCAAATATGTACAACATAAATACATATAAAATAATATAAAATATAAGGTTTTACACTCTACATATTTATATTTGTATTTTTTTTCAAACTGAGAAATAAAGTTATCAACGGGACAAAATTGTCTTTTTAATAATAACATTTTATCGTTAAAATGGTCATTATCTTATTTAACTGAAAAATAAAAAAAATATATAGATAAATACATTTACCCGATAAATATTTTTTAGGAAATGCTTATCGGATAAATGCATTTACTCGAATAAATAACTTCTCAAAAAGTGAACGAGGCCTTAGTTTCCTTCCATACCAAGTTCTAAAATTCTCAGGTTGTTTTACGTAACATGCTTTATAAATTAAAATATTTATATGGGATGATTCGTACAACCTCCCTTTTTAAATTTAGAGCTGATTGTAATGGAGACCTGGGATTGAACCCTGTGTGATGCACTGACTCGTGTTAAAAGATGGCTATGTTATATAAAGAAGTGATTACAGGTTTTTTTAATAAAAGGGAAACTGAATTGGTTGTTTAAAAAAAAAGCCAACAAGAAAGAGATAGTAGGCTGAGATAGACAACTGTATTTTAGAATATAGTAATAGATTCTAAATAAAAGTGGAGATGCTTGTACAGGATATTTGTCTAGTGTTGAAAACACTTGTACAGGTTATTCATCAATTCATTCCCAGAGAGACACAAGCTCTCATTCTCTCTCTATTCATTTATTTAGCTTATTATTGAAGTTGATCATTGTAATACATGATTAGCCTTGATCTGTAGTAGTGCGACCGTCAAGAATAAGGGAAATTGCAATGACCTTGACACTTGCAAAAAGTAGAAAAGTGTTGAGACTTGAACCAAGAAGCCACTTCCTGACAACCAAATTGGTGGGTTTTTTGGGAAGTAGGACTAAAGCTGAAATAAAGGCTTCTCCTTATTGTGTGGTTACTCTGAAAGCATTATTCAGAGAAGAGGAGCCGCCTGACCATAGAGATGCACAGAATGGTGAATCTTCCAAAGAATATCTGGTTCTATGCAAAATGAGGTCAGCTATACCTACAATAAGATCTCACATGACGAATTTGAATTCTCAGATTCCCCTTTCCTAAGTTCATGGTGAAATGGATCTCAGTTCCTCAAAGGACTAGCACAGTTGTGAGAAGATCTTTTTGTTACCCAAGTTTCATTTCTGAGTTCGACGATAGTAAAAGTAGTTGTTGTAAATGCCTTGCAGGCCACAATCAACGTCCAAGTTTCATTTGCTTTCTAGCTATGGTGGTTGAATGCTTCCTCTTTTCTTGTTGGGAGTTTCATCGGTGGTAGATTGAAAGAGAAAGAGGACGATAAATAGGTTATTCAAATTAAAGTTTCTTTTAGAGTTATTTTACTAGTATGTAAGATTATATGCAAAATGATAAAATGGGTATTTAAAAAAAAATAATAATAATAATGCATCAGTCCAACGTTTTCCATCTAGGTTGGTGATGGAAGGGAGACTTTTTCCGAGTTTTCCAAAAGTTCAGGGAAGGTCTTTATTAAAGTGAAACTTGAGGGGAGATTTTTATGATTGTCAAAAACCTCAGGGGAGGTTTTTATATTTTACCCGTTTGTATCGTCTTCTTTGATTTGCCATTGGAGTAGTAAATGGGATATATGACTAGGGGTGTCGATTGGAGTGAATTTGGTCCAATCCGATCCAATCCAATGTGAGTCCATTACAAATGGACCAGGTCCAATCCAATCCAATGAATAATTTGGACCATTTTGGACTGGTTCAATTCAATGTTCGGACTGTCCAATTTGTTCAAATTCATTTTAATTTAGATTGATTTCAACCCAAACCCAATCCATTGGCACCCATATTCTTATCTTATATCAACGATCGAATATTAGCTTCCTCCAATCAAATCTAACATAAATTTATTAGGGACGGATCTAGTCCAGTCCAATCTAATAAATATTTTGGACTGAATTGGTCCAATCCACTATGTTGTTTTTGGTCCGTCTAATCCGTCCAAATTAATTTTTGACTGGTCAAATTAATTTTGGACTGGTCCAGTCCAAAACCGGTCCGTTGACACCCTTTCATATATCGCCGTCCAACGTATGTATCCTCTTGAAAAAGTTATCATAAAAAAAAATAAAAAGAGAAGTTAATGAGTTGAAAAGTAAAACATCTAGACTTTTCTTTTTACACTTATTATACTGTTTGTCTAGTTCACATCTATCGTGATAATCGATTGCAAACTCCAATGATGTAATATTTTACACAATAACCTATGAATCAACAAAAAAAATCAATTGATGTAATATTTTATTTTTCTTTCAAATGTGCATGTGTTATCATTGGGTTGCAACCGTGCAACGCAACGGTCACAGTAGATTTTTTTTGGGATTCTAGTACAAAGAGGTAGCTTTTGACCTCTATTACCAACAAAAGGTAGCTCTTTTGTAAAATATCATAGACAAGGCATCTTTTGCAAGGTAATATCACAAAAGGACAGTAAAACATGTGGGAAATGCCTTTGATGCATTTTTTTACGACAAAACTGCCCCTCTTCCTCTTTTTTTGCAAAATGTATCGAAAACCCAAAGAAATCTCTCTCTTCCTGTTAATCGACTAAGCTTTTGAACCCCATTGTTCTTCTTCCTAAAGAAATGAAAAACTATAAAAAAAAATCTTAGTCCTCTCTCCAAAATTGAAAATAAACCCTATCATAGCCTTCATTCTTTGTATGAAATCCTCCTATTCATCTCTTTGTTGCTAATAAACTCCGGCAGCTGCAATCCAAGAGCTTCTTCCCAAGAAGCTCCCGACGGTGAATTTTTGGGTGTTAGCCTTGCTCATGACGTAAAAACCTGTCCAGTTTTTGTTGCTCGTGACATCAGCCTTGGCCACGCGAAGGCCGGTGACGCTGCCGTAACAGCCAAGAAAGTATAGCATTACGCGACCGACGTCACTGCGCAGGGCGAGCTCGCTCGCCAGGTAGAGGTCTCCCCCATTCCTTGATGCAGGCAAGGCTTGCTTCCAGCGCCATCTCCAGCACTGCTGGGTTTGCTATTTCGAGCCTTTGCTTGATCGTTAGTGAGCCCTCTGTTGTCAGTTCTGGGTACTTGTCTAAGATCTCCTTGGAGAAGCAGCCACCGCCTGAGAGATGGTCTTGTTATTACCAGACCCATCTGCGGCCACCACAACACCAGTTCGTAAAGCTGCACTGGGTGATTGAAGAAGCTTCATCAATGAACAGAGCAAAATTTCTAAGAACAGTCTAGTAGGAGGTTTTTATGATATAAATTCAATGTATATGTCATACGGTGAATACACGTCATATATCAGTGCCCCTATATGATATTTTTATCAAAAAATGCCTTAAAGCTGATATTTTCAAAGGATCGTACCTTTGAATGACATTAAGAGTGAAAAGTTACCTCTATCGGTTATAATTTTTTTTCCTCCTGCTTAAAATTATCACCATGACCTGTACGACTGAATTTAAATGCAGTTTCAACGTAATAACCGTTATGAATCTCTTCCTTGGACTATCTTTCAAAATCATGTAATTATCTATCTAATGTACGTTTGAGAGTATTTTGGCAAATATTCGGCCAATAAGAAACTTAGACCTGGCAATTTGGTTGAGTGGGTCGGGTTTGGGTTGGGTCAAGATATTTCGGGTTGATTTCAGGTTGAATTGACAAATGCTAGATCTTAATTCTAGCTGTTCGGGGGTCAATTTGCGTCATCCTTGAAAATAATTGAGAATTTAAAAAATAAAAGAAAATACAGAAAAAAATTGTCAAAATTAAAGGAATTAACCTTAAAATTCTAAAAATAAAATAAAAAACTTGAAACATTAAACAATTCAAAGAGTAAACGATAAAGCGTAAAGACTAAATAGTAAAGATTAAAGAGTAGAAACTTATACCAATACATAAATAGTCCTAATTAGATCTAACAATCGGGTCGACGGATTAATCCATGACCCAACCCAGTTTTTTTTTTTTCGTGTTGGATCATTCTCACATTCAGGTAGCTAAATATGAAACCCTAACCTTATTTTTTCAGGTAAGGTTGGGTTGGGTTGGGTCGGATTTGCGGATTGGGTCAACTTTTTACCAGGTCTAATGAAATTGTATTTATCACAACCAAGGATTAAAGTATTGGTATCGAGTACCATATCGAAAAACTTGGTACGGATACAGATACAGATATGCTTTAAAAACGCATGCATCAATTTCATAAATATGAATTACATTGAACCCTAAACGGATGAAAAATATGAACATACATAGAAATGCTAGAAAAATACACCAAATTTCATAAATACATCAATTACACTAACTTTAAGGTCAAAATAAACACAAATAAGGTATAAATATATAAGAAATGTATATTTTAATGGTATGTATAAAGAAATACTTTACAATTAATATAATGGAATGCATAGATATCATACAATTTTGTTGATAACCCATCAATCAAGAGTCCAACACTCATACTATATAGATCTTTACAAATTATTATATGCATAAAACCATTATTATGTTATATTCTATTTAATTCCAAGAAACAAAACATATATAATTATTATATTTTAATTA